AAAATATGGTAAACCTGACAGCCTCTGGTCTCCCGGGGCCACATTCCAGGTGGGGAAATCTGGCAGGAAGCACGTGAACAGGTCACTTTGGATGTTATGAAGGAAATAAACGAAGAGGTGGGGGCAAGGGGTGGGGGCTGCCGCCTGGCTGCTGGGTCAGGGAAGGCGCAGAGGACCTGGTGGTTGGGCTGAGGCCTGATGGAGCGAAGGGGGCAGCGGGAGGAGATGGGGACCGGGCAGAACCTTCCGGGCGGGTGGAGCCGCGAGTCCGAGGCCCCAGAAGGGAGCACACGGTGTGCTTTGGGGACAGAAAGAGGGCGGTGCTGGAGCCAGCACAGAGCGGGGAGGGCAGACAGGCCCAGGTCACACGGGCCTGCAGCGTGGGGAGGTGACATTCTGCCTGCGGTGGGAACCCCCTGGAAGCTTCTTAGCGGGAGAGCCACGTGAGACTGATGTGGCAGCTGCTTGCAGGGGGACCGTGGGGGCAGGAGGAGGGCAGGGAGGCTATAGTGAGGAGCCACTGTCCCCACGTGGGTGAGCGAGGATGGTGGCCTGGACGGGGAGGCGGTGAGAAGTGGGCAGACCTGGGTGCATCCTGGAGCCGAGCTCCCAGGGCTCTCCCTGGATTGTTTCAGGGACGTGGCAGAAGAGAGCCGGGGGTGAGGCCTCAGTGTCAGCCTGCATCTGAGCTGATGGCAGGAGAGGGGCGGATCTGAGCGGGAAACGTGGGCCGTGTTCCGTTTGGGTTGCTTGTTAGACGTTGAACAGGAGACGGGGGAGGGGAGAGAGAAATGGAGAGTCCCCAGCATACAGGTGGCATGTAAGCCGCGAGATTGCCTCGCGGTGAGGGAGGGAGCTGGACGGGGATGAGAAGAGGGCCCAGGACCCTCCAGCAGTCAGCGGTCAGTGCCAGGAGGGACGTGGCCGGGAGGTCGGGGGGAAGCCAGGTGTGTGGCCCTTGGCAGCCCTGGGAGAAGGGTTTGGGGAGGGATGCTCACAGCTCCCTGCTGCCTCTCGGCCCTCGTAGGCCTTACCCCCCGCCCCAGGAACCAGGGGGTGGGTGGAAGTCCCTTGTCACTGGGGGCTTCCTGGCCACTTGTGCCTCAGGTCAGGAGCCAGCCACCCATCACCCAGGATGTCACTTCTGATATCCTCTCTCAGGTGACACAGAGCAGCCCTTAGCTGCCTCCAGCCTCGCCCGGCCCCTTGTCCTCGCTTGCTGGTGTGTGGCGTGTGTGACGGCTCAGGCAGTGGCCTCTGTTCTAGCCATCCACTCCCCCTGGGGACTTTCTCCTGTTCGTTTTTTGGGCACTTGCCTCCTGGTTAACTAGCATACTTTGCGCTCTCTTCTGTGTCGTTTGTTGGTTTCATTGGGTGGTTGTCTCCCTCGTTTTCAGATTAGAAGTAGCCCCACCTTACAGATGAGAAAACGGGGGGGTTAGGTGGTTGGTCCAATGTGGTCCTGGCAGCCTCAGGCCTAGGTCTCACTGTGCGCGTGGTTCGCGCCTCGTGGCTCCCAGCCCAGCGCTCTGGCCCCCCTGTTCCACCCACAGCAGCTCCAGCCACGGGAACCTGCCCCTCTCTCCAAGGCTCGGGAGGATCTCCTGCCCTCCTACCCAAACGCACCCAGCTGCCTAGGGCTCGGCCTCCTTGGGCTCCGGCTCCAGACAGAGCATCCTGGGAGCCCAGACGGACTAGAAGTCAGGGGATGGCCCACAGCCCGGCCCCCTCCTCCTCCATCCCTGAGTCCCTGGCTCCTTTCTAAATGGATTAGGACCTTTGCCGGAAGGAGCCAGCAGCCGTCTGGGGCGACCGGAGGCCAGGGCTGGCACGCTGTCTGGTGCCTCCTGCTTTGCCCTGATTCGATTTGGGCTCCAGCAGCTGGGAGGCTGGCAGCCTGAGGCCTTTCTGGAAGTGGCTCAAGGGACTGGGGGGCAGGGGGCGGCTGAGGGGAGGAGGCAAGACTTCACGCGCCCCAGGCAGGCGAACCCCTCAGCTGGTCATGCAACAGACCTGCGATTGGGCTTCGTGCCACAGAAGGCCCCTGGCTGATGCTTGGTCCATTAGCAGGTCCCATTGGGGCCTGTCATACCCTCAGCATCCCTTAATAACGTGGGTTTCAAGCTTTTATTAAAAATAAGGCAACCGAGACTTCCCTGGTGGTCCAGTGGTTAGGGCTCCACGCTTCCACTGCAGGGGGCACAGGTTCAGATCCCTGGTCGGGGAGCTAAGATCCCACATGCGCACAGCACGGCCAAAAATAAATAAATAAATAAGGCAACCTAGGAGAAGAAATACATTTCATAAACATTTTGAAGTGAACCCATACACATTTTGGCCAGCTGCTGACCTGGCCAGTTATTTTGTTTGTTTTGTTTTGTTTTAATTAATTTATTTTATTTTATTTATTTTTGGCCGCATTGGGTCTTCGTTGCTGCGCGCCGGCTTTTCTCTAGTTGCGACGAGCAGAGGCTACTCTTCATTGTGGTGCACAGGCTTCTCATTGCGGTGGCTTCTCTTATTGCGGAGCATGGGCTCTAGGAGCGCGGGCTTCAGTAGTTGTAGCACACGGGCTCAGTAGTTGTGGCGCACGGGCTTAGTTGCTCCACGGCATGGGGGATCGAACTCGTGTCCCCTGCATTGGCAGGCAGATTCTTAACCCCTGCGCCACCAGGGAAGTCCCTGGCCTGTTATTAAAATCAGTATTTATCTACAGCCAAGTAGCCAACTTGGGCCAGGACGGAGTCCAGAGCCAAGCTCTGGTGCATCCCTAATTCCTTTGAATGTTTCCATCTCTGTCATTGGATGCATCTCACCTTGTTATGTGTGACGTGCTCTGATTGCTGTTCTGTGTCATCGATTTTACAACCCACTAAAAGGCTACATACAGTCTGTGGTTTGGACTACACTGAGCTGGACACTGGGGGTGCAGCAGGGATTGGCAGACCAGTCCCTGACCTCATAGAGCTTACAGTCCAGGGGGCAGCTGTGGTGGCAGAAGACACTATGGACTTGGCACTATATTAGGTGCCAGGCCCAGCCATCACCTACCCAGGACCTCCAACCCCCAACCCCAGTTACATGCACAGACTCCTTTACCCCCAAGAAGCAGAGAGGGCAGGACTCACAGGCTCCCTCTGATGCCTGCAGCTCTGTTCCCTGATCCCGCCCCTGAACTGGCCACCTGGGGCCCTTGCACAGAGCACTAGAAGGTCTGAGCCTGGGGAGGGAAACTGAGCGTTCCTGCCTCTGCCCTCTACCTTCTCCTTTGCTTGGATTGGCGAGGGGACAGCTGCCCCATAGGAAGATGCTGGCACTGGGGCATCCTGTGGGTGGGCCCCCTGGACCTGATTCCTGGGGTGAGGAAAGGGAGGGGCAGGATGGATTGGGGACCGAGGGAGGCTGACCTTTGTATCTAGTGGGGCCCAGGCCCGGCTGGGTAATACAGGGCCAGCAGACTTGTTCCCTGCCTGGTGTAGCCCCGATATGACACCCTGACCTGAGGGTGCCTCAGCAAGGGGGGAGGATACAGCTCTGTCCTCCGGGAACCTCATGACGAGGGGCAACGTCCTGTGTTGGGGAAACCTCACCTGAGGTGAAGGGGCCTCTGCCCCGTGGTATCTCTCTGCACCTCTGAGATTCAGTCCTGGAAGCCAGGAAGTAAACCGAAGCTCCACGGCCTTGGGGTGGCGGCCTCCCCCCGGGGAGCATGTGACTTGATACACAGCTGTGATGGGGGGGCTCAGGGACAGGTGGGAGGCCAGGGACACCTGACCAGCCTGGGCAGGAAGGGGCAGGAGGTGCGGCAATCCGGGGCACCTTCCCAGCAGAGGTGACAGTTAAAAGCTAAGCGGGCAGGGCTTCCCTGGTGGCACAGTGGTTGAGAGTCCGCCTGCCGATGCAGGGGACGCGGGCTCG